TTTTTTTTTTTTTTTTTTTGTCCTTTTTGAGACCGGCTGCACCGCGCTCAGCCAGTGAGCGCTGTGAACGCACCGGTCATCCCTATATAGGATCCGAACCCGTGGCGGGAGCGCTGCTGTGCTCCCAGCGCTACACTCTCCCGAGTGCACCACGGGCTCGGCCCCAAGGAATCTTAACCAAAAGTGTGTTTACTGAGGAAAGCTGTGGAATCTTATTCCACATGTACTGGCACTTAGTATGTATTTGATAAGAATTTGTGAGTGAATGAATAAATGAATGAATGAAGAATTCATTCATAGACACAGCTCTACCTGAAAATATCTTAAACCGTTCTGTACACTTTAGACTCACTCTTGGGTTACCCTTTCCCAAGCAAGTAAGGATATCTTTACCAGCCACTACAGACCTCTGTTCTCGCCTCCAACTGTTCAGTGAACCCCTTCCTCCATGATTCTCACCCAGTCTGCCACCTCTATGTCCCTAAAACCTTCCTGCTAATAACGTCTTCTAGCTTGAACATAATTGCCTGAGGTCCATTCTATCTTATAATTCTTCACCAACCTTTTGGAAAAAAGTGGAATTAAAATAATATTCAATACACAAGTAGACACATAAGCTTAAAAAACAAAGGAAGTGACCGGACTAACATTTGTTCATTTCCCACTCTGTGCCAGGCACTGTACTGAGTACTTGACATTCCTTTTCTCATTTACTCTCTATCAGATTGGTAATAGTTTCTCCATTCTACTAATAAGGAAAGTGAAGGTCAGAGAGGTTAAGCAACTTGCCCAGGGTCAGCTGGACAGTAATAAGAATAATAGCCAACAAGTATTAAACTCTTCCTATGTGCTAAGGACTTTACTAAGTACTTTGCATTGGTTATCTTTAATCCTTATCATGTGCCTAAAAGGTAGGTGCTATTGTTATTCCCGTTTATAGATGAGGAACCTGTGTCTCAGAGAGGTTGAATCCCTTGATCCCTTGCCCATGGTGTCTCATTAAGTGGCTGAGCCAGGCTTTGCACCCTGGCTCTCGAATTTTCCAAAAATTTATCTAGCACAGTAAGTAAATGGCTGAGCTGTGATTTGAACCCATCCCCAAGACACCCCAAAGCCCACATTCAGTGGTACTGATCCAGCTCCCCTGAAAGGATGGGAACTATCAATTGCTCAACACCTATTGCATGGCACCCACTCTGTAAATATTTCCTTGCCTAATTCTTATAATGACCCTGCCACACAGGCCCAAATGTATGCAATAATCACATCAGCAATTACTTCCTTACTGGCACTGTGATTTGGTCTCTCCAAATTCTAGGAAAGGTATTCAGTCCCTCAGCAGTCAACCTACGTGATAAGATGCCGGGAGCAGTCACAGAACAGCATCAGCATGGCCAAGAGCTGCTTGGACTCTTCGGTGTCATTGTTCAGGCATTCCAAGAAGAGCTTTAACCCTCCGTGGGGCCCCAGCTCACATATAAACGCCCACAGTTTGGGCAGCAGGTCATCAAGGTAAGTGAGACCTGGAAAAGGATAGAGAAATCCGAGCTTCAGGTGGTGGCTCCAACTGATCTGTTATTTCTCCTATCTACTAGGAAAACAAAACACCTAAACCTATTACTGAACATTTAATGTTCAGGACAGAAAGAAAGTACAATTATTAAGAAAAGCATTATTTCCATGACAATAACAGCTAATATTTAATGGGTGCTTACTATGTGCCAGATACCATTCTAAGCACTTTGCATGAATTTTCTTCTTTCCACCTTCTCAAGCCCAGTTATCTCCATTTAATAAGGGAACAAATTGAAACACAGAGAGGTTATTTAATTGACTCAAAATAACATAGCCAATAAGTATCAGGGTCTAAGAATATAACTCTAGTCTGTTTGACTTAGCATCTATGTTTTAAATCAGGGATCAGCAATTTTTTTTTGGAAAGGGCTGGAAAGTAAATATTTTTAGGCTTTGTGAACCAGATGGTCTCTGTCACAACTACTCATTGCTACCACTGTAGCAAGAAAGCAGCCATTGACAATAGGTAAATGAATGGATTTGGCGTGTTCTATTAAAAGTTTATTTACAAAAACAAGTGGTGAGCTGGATTTGTCCCACAAGCTGTAGTCAGCTGATTCCTGCTTTAAATCATCTGGCAGGCTCATCCATACTAATCCAAAGCTTTCCTCTCATCTTCTGTTATTCTACCTATGTTAAAAATGGGAAAGCAATGAACGGCTGGCCAGGGCAGAGATACTCTGAAGTGTTACAGAACAATTTAACCCTGGGGATGCAAAAGGTGACGCAGAGAGCATTCGAAGTCTGTTTCCTGATGGCTACAAGGCCTCAGACACTCAGGCTACATCACTGGTATATTTTAAGTCTAATAATGCAGCTACTGACTTAGAAAGTCTGGCTGTAAAGTTCCGTGTGTCACTGAATATACAGTAAGTTGTGTTCCTCAGAAAAGGGGAAGTCACCCTTTAGGGAACCTATCCTAGGCCCAAGGCCAAGCCTTTATACTCCATCCCTCTGTTGATGCTCCCCCAACCCCAGAGTGCACTCAAAGGCCTGCTGAACACCTCTGCCTGTATGCCTAGCAGGCACCTGACACTCTTCACAGTCACAACAGAACTCTCGATTTCCCATGGTCACACATTTGAGCCCTTAAAGTATCTATCATTTGATACGGTACTCTGAATTATTTGATTTTGAGCAAAGAAATGTTCGTGAAAGATATATTAGCCTAGGGAGGGAAGGGGGATCTCAATGCTACTTATGGGTGCTTAGAGGGTGAAGTGAAAGAACAGTAAAGGAGGCAAACAAATGTAACACCAATTTAGTTACTATTCCTACACTGTCAAGGGTAGGAGAATGTGGAGGATAAAGAAGTCTTTAAACAGCAAGAGTTTCTTGACCTGGTTGGTGGTTATATAGGTGCTCAGGTCATAACTAGTCTATGTTACATTATCCACACCAAGAATGCATATCTCTCACAATCTAAAAACAGGTTAAAAAAGAGTAAATAGTTATATTATGGAGATCACAAATATATTCCTATAGGACAAAAGAAAAAAAGCAGCTGTCCTTGTGGTATATGAATGGGACTCACAGTGTAGACAAAAACATTTATAGCATCATATACCAATCCAATAAGGGCTGCATCCCAAGCAATTCAGATAGAAATGAAGATGATGGACTCAGGAAAGCTGTGCTAAAGGACCAGCAGTGGCTCCAGTACCATCAGGGGCATGAGGAGCACAAGCAAAGACGCTTTGTAAACTGTGAGTAGAAAAACAGTGGTAGTTTTGAAACAAATGTTATTTTCTATAATCTAATTTCATATGTGCATAGTTAAACTATGACTATCATATATACACTTTGGACTAGTTTATCTTCATCCTTAAATGTGTGTATTTTCAGGTTGGAAAAAAACCTTATTTTTGGATTCTTGCACCTGGGAAAGTGAGCTTAAATGTGAGCTCATCTTAAAAAGCTGGACACAGGTTGTAACCTCAGAATCCTCTCACCTAGTATGCTCCCCAAACCCTCAGTTGCTGGGGTGCTCCAGTGTGGTCTTACCCCTTCTCTCCTCCCTCTGCTCTCATTTTTGGGAAACTGTGCCAGGCCCAAGGTCAAGCCTTTACACTCCATCCCTTTGCTGATGCTGCCTGTCCCACCCCTCCACCCCGCAGAGTGCATGCAAAGGCCTGTTGAACACCTCCACCTGTATGCGCAGATGGCACTTTATACTTGTCACAGCCACAACAGAACTCTCGATTTCGCATAGGCCTCACCCCAACTGGTCTTCCCCAGCTCAACAAATGGTGCCATTATCCACCCAGCTGCTCAGGCCAAAAGCCTGGTATTGTCTTTAAAACTGTTAATACTCATGCCCCCAAATGCAATCCACCAGTAAGACCCATTGAGTACCTCCAAAAGACATCTGAAATCCTCCCACTTCCATCATCACCACTATGATGCTAGGCCAATGGCTCTCAATCAGAAATTACTATGTCCCTCAGGGGGCATTTGGCCATGATTGGCTATCACAATGTGGGTTGGGGGAAGGGCTACTAGCATCTATGAGTAGGGGCCAGGGGCTGCTAAATATCCTATAATACACAAGACAGCCCCTCACAAAAAAAGAGTTATCCAGCCCAAAGGTCAACAATGCTAAGGCCGAGAAACCCTGCTCTAGTCCAAGCCAATGTTGTCTCTCATAATTGCCATCTTCATAGTGCCCATGACTATATTAAATCTATTCTGCTTGCTTATTATTGGTCTCCCAATACTAGAATATAATCCCCTGGGAACAGAGACTTGGCTGTCTGGTTCGCCTCTGCATCATCAGTGCCTGGCACATGTATGTGCTCCATAAATATCTGAAGAATGAATAAATATGCGTGAAAGAGAAAAGCAGCAGCAATTTATGGTTTAAAAAAATGTAAGATGCAGTTGAGAAGTTTTTAATCCTTTATGTAGTAAATTGCTTCATGGTTTACAAAGACCCTTTGTGCTCATAATACCAATTCATACAACTCCTGAGCTGCAACTTTAAGCCCTTGACGCCCAGTTCTGTGCTCACAGAGGGGACTTTCTTCCTTGCTCAGCTAAAAAGGAAAATGTTGGGCACATCAATACAATGGAATATAAGCAGCCAATAAAAAGGAGGTTTTTAAAGGATTTTTGACTTGATAAAATGCTTATGATAAATGGAAAAGAAAGGATAAAACTATATATTTCAATTTAAATATATATATATTTGTAGTACACTCAGGCACAGATGGTTATCTTTGCACTGCAGGACTAAGTTTTGTGTAAATTTTCTTTTTCCTGCTTCACTATCTTTTCTAGTTTTCTATTCAGAAAAAATAACAACTTTTTTTTTTTTTTTTTTGTCTTTTTGGATCGCAACCCTCAGTGTCGCCCCCGTACCGGACCGGGACCGGCAACGGGATCGCAGCCCTCGGTGTTGCCCCCGCGCCTCGCTCAGCCAGTGAGCGGGAACCGGTCTGTATGTGGGATCCGAACCCTCGGCGGGAGCGCCGCCGCGCTTCCCAAGCAGCGCACCACAGCAGTGCGCCACCAGGCCGGCCCCAGAAAAAATAACAACTTTTTAAAAGTAAATTGTACTCCATAATTAGCCAGAAAAAAAAAATCAACTTTTTCTGAGAAAAACTGTCTGCCAAATTTGAGAGATGGAGGAATATGCTTTGGGACTCCAAACCTGTTAGTATCTGTAGACGGATCTGGGTGAGAGTTGTCAATGAGGTCTGGTAGAGGACACAGATATTGCAAACCTTCTGGACTTCTGCAGAGTCGACGCGTTTACCCCCCACAGGCCTGAGAATATTCCGGACTGATGCAGATTTCTGAAATGCACGCTTTAGGAGACCTGGCATGGAGATAACAAGAAATGAAAGAGCAACAGTTCAGCCATCAGCCCAATTTCACTCTGTAGAGAGAAAAGCATTTCAATACACCTCCGAATTTATAGCCAGGGCCAGACAGTGGGGATGCTGCTTTGATTCAAAACATTTTTCTGGGATAAATTAAAAAAAACACAAAAACCATTTACAATAGGTTTTTAGGTGCATCCCAAAGACCTCTTCCAAATGTCGGAAAACTTCTCAGAATAAGCCAGGCATATTCAAATCTTACATGAGATTCTCTCACTGTATCACCTAATCTCAGAACCCACAAAGGTAAAAATTCAGAGTACTACACTAAGGGAAGAGGAGCAAAGGCAGGAGGTCTGGGCTAAGTCAATTCTCTGCGCTTTTAGAGGGAAGTAAAGCAGGGACAATTTCAAGTACTGATATTTGGGTTTTTTTTTTTTTGTCTTTTTTCGTGACCGGTAAGGGGATCGCAACCCTTCGGTGTGGTGTCGCCCACACCGCTGCTCAGCCAGTGAGCGCACCGGCCAGTCCTATATAGGATCCGAACCCGCGGTGGGAGCGTCACTGCGCTCCCAGCGCCGCACTCCCCCGAGTGCGCCATGGGGCCGGCCCTCTGATATTTGGTTTTAAATGGTTTAAATGTTTTAAACCTTTCTATTTCTATCCTGCTAAAGTTACATTTGCTGAGCCTATGCTTGCTACAAGACAGAACTTTCCAACACACTGAGTGGCAGAAGAAAAGCCACTCTGAAACAGAAAATCTGCCACAGGCATGTAATTCTACTGAATTAGGTGTTGTTGGTACTTCCTCAACATTTATCAGCGTGGGCAACAAGAAACCTTTCCATGGAACCCATTACTGATCCTGTAGTAGGGATGCTGCTGAGATGCTAGCCTGGACTGTGTCAGTGGCTTTATAAGAAGCCTCACCTGGGAGATTTATTTTATGATTAAGAACTTAGAAAAGCTCTACTTCCCCTAAGACACAGGTCTTCTTCCTGGAATTGAGAAGAAAGGGTACACAAATCCCTTTTCATTTTGGCTACAAGAAAGTGCACAGACAAACTGAAGTTCAGCGATAGCCACAGTGGCCTCATGGGACATGTATCCCTGGATGACATGATCTGGATTTCGTTCACCTATTTCTATTTCCCCAGTCCTTGTTTTCTATTCCTATGGATTTCTGTCACTGTTTTCCTAAATGTGACTAAGCAGCCTCAAAATCTCTGTGGAAGAAGTTAGAGCATCCCACAGACAGAGTGGAGAATTTTTTCTTTTTTGGTGACTAAGCCAATATGGGAATCCGAACCCATGAACTTGGTGTCATAAGGCCCACAGACAGAGTAGAGAATCCACACAGGAAGAATCAGAAGCTGCATTTCAGCCAAGTGGAGCCCTGGTGTCAGGCCTGCTCCGGTCACTCACTCTTCACTGGAAGCACATTCTGTGGGGATGCTGGCTGCGTGTGGGCCAGCTCCTGGTTCTCCAGCAGCTTCTTGCTCAGGATGTCATTAAAGAAGATCCGGATCAGAGGCACCCCCCACAGGAACTGCAGCTGTTTGGTGATTAAGTGTATTGACTCGTTAAGGCTAGGAGAGAGCAGGAAGAGACCAGGTGTGTCAGTTCCCCCTGATGCATGGCCAGGAACAGCCCACTCAGCTCCTAATGGGCCTTCCACTTGGAGGTGAAGCTATGGCCTAGCATTCAACAGGGCAAGAATAAAAAAAAAAAAAAAAAAAAAAAAGAACCAACAAATTGTCACTGAAGGCCTGGTATGTTGAAGGCATTGACTCTTTATCTGGTCTGTTGCTCCACCCAAACTTCCTGTGCTGCCAGCAGTGTTACTGCCTCCCCTAGGTCACGAGGCTCTATACATCAGTTGTCTTGGAGATACCCTCTATCTGTTCTCCATCCTAATTTCATCTGTTTACCACAGCCCACAAAAGCTAGTTCATGTTTGCTGTGTTGCCTTCCTCCTTGCAGATATCCTACAGGGGTGGCCCACAAATCTAGATGACCCACCTGCTTTCCTTAGTGTTTCCTCACCTCCAAGGGCTCCTGACTCCGTGCTGTACCCCCAGCACCACTCCCATTCCTGAAACCTGCTGTCATCAACCCCGCCTCAAGACCCCACACTGGCTCCCCAATGGATCATCACAGTGATAACAGCCCCCCCCAGCTACTGGCAGGCCTTTAAACACATCGTCTCATTCAATCCCTCGAGGGAAGCCTATCAGAGGGGCTATGAAAATCATCCCATTTCAGATGAGGAAACCAAGGCAAAGTGAGTTGTCCAGAATCCCTCAGAGAAGAGGCAGTAGAGCTGGGACCAGTCTGTCCACTAAGGTGCTGTACTGCCCTGTCTTGCCTCCCAACATATGCTCCATCCTCTTTAGGCTAGGGGGTCACACAGGGGGAGGGTCGTCCTCTGGCAATGAGTCTTTCTAAATGGAAAGGGCCTAAAGATGTCACTCAGATACAAAGGAGAAGGGCGCAAATCTGGGATTTCCTTCCCCGGCCTTCAGTTTTCTGCTGTAAGGGCACGTGCCAGGAAGCCCATGCCTTAGGCAGATATCTGAACAGGAAAACAGCTGGGCATTATAGCTGCTCTAGCTCCAGAGACAGCTTCATTTCAGCTCAGAGTACACATTTCAAATGCATGATGCTGCCTTACTTGATCCCTGTTTTTCTGGCCTAGGGTTTCTAATATTTTTGAATTCTTAATTAAAATTTTTAAAATTTATATTCCACCTTTTGAAAAGGATCTGGGGTGACTTCTATTTCCTTTGAATCATTCATCAAGTTTTAGCCTCTCCAAAATATGGTAGTCTAGGCAATCAATAAAAGTGATATTGAAGAAAAGATAATGTTGATAGATAAGGTTCATTATTGATTAAAAGATAACAATACAAAAATAATATGATCTCATTTCTGTATTTCTAGATAAGAAAAAGACTGAAAGGATGTTTACACAGGTTGTCCTTGGGTGGTAGGATTATGGGATAGTTTTTATTCTCTTTTGGTCTTATCTATGTATATTTTAGACAATAAATACATATTATATTTGTAATAAGAAACAAAACAACAGAAGCTGAAAGAATGAAAGAAGGAAGAAGGGGGAGATGGTGGGGAAGGAGGCAGGAGAAGGCAAGAAAGACAGTGATTGATTTGCCTCCAGGACTCACCCATAGTCCACAGATTGGGAGAACCAGCCAAGGACAGGGTGCCAGTGGGTCAGGTTGGATTTCTTCTGGGACACGTACTTCTGACAGTAGCACAGCATCTGGGTGAGCAAACTGACAAACCCATCCATCTCCTCCTCTAATACTCTGGGGCTGAGGGAGCCCAAGTGTAGGAGATTGCCTACAGAGAGAGAAGGCTGAGTAGATGGGCCCACACAGAGATGCTTTGGTGCCTCCCAGCCCTGCTCTCTGTGGCTCAGGTAGCACGTCATATGTGCATAAAAAAATTCTATGTGAGAGGCACCTGTCAGTGCTGGGGGCTGCAGTGCAGTGCAGGGGTAAGAAATAGGCTAACTTGACTTCAAATCCTGGCTATTCTACAAACGAGCTGCGTGATCCTCAACCCACCTCTTGATCTGTTTTCTCATCTATTAGACTGGAATAATGACCCCCACTCTCCATGTGAGGCTTATATGAAGTAATACATAAAATGTCAGGCACACACAGGTACATATTTAGTTTGCATATTTTAATATTAACGTTTAAGACTCAAGGAGCAACATAAGAAATGACCATGTAAAGAATATTTGAATACTAGGAAATCACTGTTATTCAATGTTCATCAAAGTTATTTCAAATCACTTGCGTGAAAACTCTTACCATAAGCTTCTCCTAAAGTTTAGCCCCAAGAATGTTTTTCTATCTAAGATAAATTTCTTTTTATTAGGCAATAAAAAAAATGTGCCTCCACTGTTTTCAAAAACGTCTATCCGCAAACACTTTCTTCATCTACAATGAAAACATCATAGAACAGGAGAGGCGGGCCTACTCTGATCTAAGCCCTACCCACCTGCTCCCTCCCTTTTGTCTTGAGATAAGAATTACCCAGGCAACACTCCCCCCATTTTCATTTTTTCCTTGGCCAACAGGAAGCTAAGTGCTGAAATTTAACATTCATTTACAGTCACCCAACTAGCTTGCCAGGTTGGTATATTTTCCAAATGATTTTAAATTTTACACGTCCATTTTAAATTGTCTATCTGAATATATATTTTTTTATTATAAGCACTTCCGATTGTTAGTAAAAACAGCTTATGATCTCTAGAAGGGTGAAAAGCAAAACACTCTCAGGTTTTCCCTGATGGCCAGGACATGATCACACTGCAGCCACAGATACTCACCCATTAGACAAAGTGTATGGCATCCTTCTAAACTCTCACATACGTCACGGCATCGATCCTCGTCTCTCAAAAATACGATGAATTTACGAAGCAAGTCATGAGATTCTAAAACAGTGAGGCGCTGCAAACAATTGCAGACAGTTAAAGCAGAAATTGACGGGAAGAATTTCCTACTACAGCATGACCATGATCATTTGCAGATCACTCTCTAGGTATGTGGAACATGCTACCAATCGCCAAGAAGAAAACAAAGATGAGACCTGCTTCTTTGGATGGCTAACTCGAGTGTGTCTATGGTGGCTATTGCTCAAGAAGAAAAATCAGGGGAAGAGGTAGGAATTAGCAGAGAAACATTTTAGAAATTTTCTAATTTCTGAGAAGAAAAGCAATAGCAGAATTGGTTTTTTAGGGGGAACTTAGGAGCCCACTTACCTCAGGGGTCACTGTGCGCAGATGAATCGTAAGAGCAGGCACGGACATGATGTGGATCAGGAAGGGACGAATCAGATTGTCTGAAAATTGTGCAGCAATCACAGGGCTAGACACAGACAGATCACCTTATTCAGAGAGGTCTGCATGTACACCTGGAACTAAACAGCAACCCAACCAGTGCTCTCAAATCCCTAAAAATTATGGTTCACAGGCCTTTGAGGAAAACTAAAGGCTGAAAATGAGGATATGTGGTAGAGGAATGACTAAGTCAATGGCAGTACAATCATATGATGCAGTATTGTGCAGCTATGAAAAATCAGTCCTGAAGTTTCACTGACATGAGAAAATGCTTATGCTATAATAAACTTAAAAACAGAATAAAAAACTATATACATGGGAGAGGAGGAGGGGCTTGTGATGGGGAGGGAGAAATGAGAGGCTTCTGGAGTGCTGGTCCTTTTGTTCTATTTCTTGATTCAGTGTGCTTACCCAGGTGTGCTCACTATGGCGTAACTCACTAATAACTCATACTTGAATTAAGCAGTTTATTTAAAACACACACACACACACACACACACACACACACACTATGATATTAACGTTTTAAAACATATACAAAAACACATAAATATATATAAATAAATAAAAGACTGGGAAGAAAAATTCAAAAAAATGTTAGTAAGGCTGGCCAGTTAGTTTGGTTTGTTAGAGCCTGGTTTTATAACCCCACGGTGAAGGGTTCAGATCCTCATACTGGCCAGCTGACAAAAAAAAAAAAGTTAACAATGTATCTCTGGGTTGTAAAATCATGAGAATTTTTTTTTTCTGCTTTATCCAGGTTTTCTACAATAAGCACATATTACTTCTATAATCAGAAAGATATAAATATTAAAATAAGAAAATGACTCTTGCCCCACACCATATACAAAATAGACCAAAGACCTCAATGCTAATTTTATAAATAAACAATAAAACTCTTAGAAGAAATCACAGGAGTGAATCTTTGTGACCTTGGGTTACGCAATGACCTCTGAGATAGGACACCAAAAGCACAAGCAACTAAAGGAAAAACTGATAAACTGGACTTCATCAAAATTAAAAACTCTGGTGCTTTAAAAGACACCATCAAGAAAGTGAAAAGACAACCCATGAAGGAAATATTTGCAAAACATATCTGATAAGAGACCTGTATCCAGAACATATAAAGAACTCATACAACTCAACAGTAAATGACAACCCAATTAAAAAATGGGCAAATGATCTAAATAAACATTCTCTAAACAACAACGACAAATGGTTAATAAGTACATGAAAAGATGGTCAACATCATTAGCCATAAGGGAATTGTGACTTGGGATACCACTTCACACCCACTAGGATGGCTATAATCAAAAAGACATGACAAGCATTGGCAAGGATGTGGAGAATCTGGAACCCTCATTCAGTACTAGGGGGAATGTAAGATGGTGCAGTCACTTTAGAAAGCAGTTTGGCACAGAGCTACCATATGCTGTTGAGTGGATGCCCACCAACCTCACTGAAGCTTTATCCTCACTGTAACTGTTGAGGGTGGGAAATCCTATTATGGTAATTGAAAGATGGGGTCTTGAAGAGGTGAGGTGAGTGTAGGACCATGCTGTTGTGAATAGCTTAAAAATGGCGGTTATGAGCATGGTTCTGAGGGCTTTCAAAGGACAGTGCATGAGGAACTGTCTCTCTCTGCTTCCACCATCTCACAATGTGAGACTCCTGGGTCACTGTCACCACCACCAGATGGATTTTGGACTTCCCAGCCTAAGAAACTGTAAGCAATAAATTTCATTTCCTTTACAAATCACTCAGTTTCAGGTATTTCGTTATAAGCAACAGAAGCCAACTAACCCGTATAACCCAGCAATTCCACACCTACGAATATACCTCAGAGAAATGAAAACATACTTCCACACAAAAACTTGTACATAAATGTTCACAGCAGCACTATTCATAATAGACAAAAAGTGGAAACAACACAAATGTGGTAGATCCATACAACGGATTATTTTTTGGCCATAAAAAGAACGAAATACTGATTCATTCTATAACATGCATGAACCTTGAACACATTATACAAAGTGAAAGAAGCCAGTAACAAAAGACCTCATATTATACAATTCCATCTATATTGATATGTCCAGAACAGGAAAATTCAAAGAGACAAAAAGTAGATTAGTTGTTGCCAGGGGCTTTGGGGAGAGGAGGAAAGGAGAGTGACAGCTAATGGGTATGGAGTTTCTTTTTGGGGTGATGAAAATGTTCTGGAATTAGATAGTGGTGATGGTTGTACAATTCAGTGAATATACTAAAAACCATAAAATTGTACACTTTAAATGAGTGAAACATGATATGTAAATTACTTCAATAAAGTTGCTATTTAAAAACAAACACCCAGGGGCTGTGTAGAAAAAAAGATAATGAGAAGTTATAGGGGAAAAATGATTTCTTCTAGCTAATGTGTTCCAACAGCAATTAGTGGATATGTTACTGGTATTTAGGACATCAGAATTCCTATTACAAACTTTTACTTTCAGGATACCATTTTTGAGACAAGAAAATTTTATAAGGCTGAAATGCTCAAAATATCAGTGCCTATGTTAACCACTTGTCCAAATGAGACTGACCAACCAACCTAATCTCACTGATCTGTGTTGGAGAAATTTTAAAAAGAGAATCAAGTTATTTTCTGTATGTTACAAAGAGGTTTATTTAGTTATTTATTTATTTATTTATTTAAAAGATGACTGGTAAGAGGATCTTAACCCTTGACTTGGTGTTGTCAGCACCACGCTCAGCCAGTGAGCGAACCGGCCATCCCTATATGGGATCTGAACCGGGGCCTTGGTGTTATCAGCACCGAGTGGGGGAAAAGTACACTGTTTAGGAAAAAGGCTTTAGAGTAATATGGCCTTAACAAGTGGTTCAACGGGATCTAATACAGTTGTCCCTCAGTATCTGTGGGGTATTGGTTCCAGGACCTGCTGTGGATACCAAAATTCAGGATGCTTAACCTATACACATCCTCCCGTGTACTTTAAATCATCTCTAGATTACCTATAATACCTAATACAATGTAAATGCTATGTAAATAGTTGTTATAGAGTATTTTTTAATTTGTATTATTTTTTACTGTTATATTGTTATTTTTTATTGTTTTTTTCCAATCTGAGTTTGGCTGAATCCAGGGATGAGAAATCCATGGATATGGAGGGTCAACTATACATAGAATGATAAATATTGTTATATTCTTAAAGGAGAAGAAACCTGATGGAATGAGTAGATGTGACCATGCCTGGTGAATGACACTGTGAATTACAACCACACTAAAGCAGGGAAGGGATGCTAGAATGGGAAGAAAGGCAAGGTGCTCCTAGATCTTATTCTCCAGAGATGCAGGAGGGGCAGAGCTGCCCCTGGGCTCCTGGGCTCCCGGGCTTAGGCCTCAGCCTGCTGACCCTTCACTTCCTCTGACGGAGGAGAGTGGGTGACGTTGCTGGAAAGAGCTGCCCTACAATGTGACTCAGAAACGGAGATGCACTGCATCTGCATCTTAGGTTTCTGGGAAAACCTGTTTGTCCTTAGATGTTATGGCTCATTAATACGACTCATGTAACTTCTCTCAAAGTATGAAACGAAGGTATGATTGTTTACCAGATAATTTGTTCTACTTTTGTAACTAATGATAGTGTAACTGGTTGGATCCTGTTCCTCCATCACGAGGGTCTAGCCTCTAGAGGTATGCAATCTAATACAGCAGCCACCAGCTACATGTGGCTACTAAGCACTTAAAATGTGGCTGGTCTGAATTCAGATATGCTGTAAGTATAAAATACATACCAGCAGTTTGTGAAGACCCAGTATGAAAAGAAAAATAAAATATATTATTTAATTTTAATTAAAATAAAAATTTTAAATATTGATTAGATGAAAAAATGATAATATTTTGGATACATAGGTTTAAATAAAATATATCATTAAATTTAATTTCCCCTTTCTTTTGGCTTTTTAATATGACTCTCATATTTCCATTGGACAGAACTGCTCTAAACCAGTCTTGTCCATTAAACTTTTTGTGATTGGGCCGGCCCAGTGGTGCACTCGGTAGAGTGCGGCGCTTGTCATTGGACAGAACTGCTCTAAACCAGTCTTGTCCATTAAACTTTTTGTGATTGGGCCGGCCCGGTGGTGCACTCGGTAGAGTGCGGCGCTTGTGAGCGCGGCGGCGCTCCCATCGAGGGTTCGGATCCCATATAGAGACCGGTCCGCTCACTGGTTGAGCGCGGTGCAGGCACGACACCGAGGGTTGCGATCCCATTACCGGTCACGAAAAAAGACAAAAAGGAAAAAAAAAAAAAAAAACTTTTTGTGATGATGGAAATGTTCTACATTTGTGTTGTCTAATACAGTTGTCACTAGTCACATGTGGCCACTGAGCACCTGAAATGTGGCTAATGTGACTAAGGAAATGAATTCTTAATTTTATTTAATTTTAATTAATTTATTTTTAAACAGTCCCATATAACTAGTGGTTAGTAGAAAGCACAGTCTAGACCAGGGGTCAGTAAAGTACACTCCACAGGCCAAATTCAGACCTATTTTTCTGATGAAAGTTTTATTGGAACATAGCCATGCTCATTTGTGTATGTGTTGTCTATGGCTGCTTTTACACTGTAGTGGCAGAGTAGTTGTGACAGAGGTTTATGGCACCCGAAATAGAGCTGAAAATATTTACTTTCTAGCCCCTTATAAAAAATTTGCCAACCCATGCTTTAGACCATCATTTTCCACATTGGTGTTCCATGGAAAATGATTCTATGAGATATTAATAGACATGCTCCATTATCCAAAAATGAGGCAGGGGTATTCTATGCTCAGATATGTGGGCCAACATCAGGCTAAACAAGCCCAAGGGGTCTTGCTACCACCACAAGACTTCTCAGAGCTTTCAGCACTGAGGTGCACTGTGGATTAGCCAGAGGGGGCAGAGCAGGGAGCTTCTACCAAGCTGGTTTGACCATGACATTCTTTCTTTGAGAAGCTCTTATTAATATCACCCCAAGTTAGTGTTCCTCTCGACAGTTTAAGAATGCATACCTTCTCTCTCTCTCTTTTTTTTTTTTGGTGGCTGGCCAAGGGATCAAACCCTGGATGCTGGTGTTATTAGCCACAGGCTCTAATCACCTGAGCTAACCGGCCAGCCCCACAGGCACTGCTTTTTACATTTAGCAGGTCTCAGAATTACAGGTGTAATTTCTGAAAGGAAATATCTAGCTTCATATGTACTTTACATCTCCAAACTAAGTGAATACAAATATCACATCCTCTCTGGTCCCACAAATTCTAACATTTTATTTTATTTTTTTTGGTGGCTGGCTGGTACGGGGATCTGAACCCATGACTTTGGTGTTATAAGACTGCACTCTAACCATCTAAGCTAACTGGTCAGCCCCTCTAACATTTTTAAACCTATGTTCATGACACTAGTCCCATAATCCTTTGATCCTGCCCTTTGCCGGGCCTCCTCTAGCTCTTAGGTTTCCTCTATTTTGTCAATTAAAAACTCAAAAGGAAAAATGATTACATCTTGGCCACTGGCAGAATGAAAGCATATTCAGGGGTACAGATTCAAGGCCATGAAAAAAATCTAAGCAGTCACAAATGTATCACTTTCACTAAGAACAACACTACCCATGAATTCTGACAAATTGCAAGTCTATACCTAACACCAAGAGGAAGAAGCATTCAGAAACACGCCAACACCTCAGCCATAGTTTTTTACTTACCGCAATGCTAGGGAAAAGGCTGCTGTTAGAGTGCCTTTGGACAGACAAGGCCGGGGTCTTGCCAGTCCATGGGTTAGCAATACCTGAAAAGAACATTTTAACTGGTTATGGGATGATACCAATTTTATATTTGTTTGCATTTGTAAAAAAGCAGCAAAAAAGTAAAATGAGTGCTTCAGGTAAAAAAGCTGTATTGGAATGTTTTCAAAAAATGAAGGGTAAGAATAGTATTGGATATGGAGGTTCATTCTACCACTCTCTCCCCACTTTAAATATTATGTTTAGAAGTCTTTAAATAATAAACAGCCAAAAAAATTAACAGCTGATTAAAAAGAACCCCAGACTTAAAATTTCAAGATACCATATTATTTTAGAAGCAGTTCAGTTATACTGTCAAGTAGAACCTTCCTTTACTGAGATAAACTATTGGTAATACCACCTTTTGCCGTCACCCCACCTCACAGGCTTGTCGTAAGGAGAAAATGAAACCAAACCAGGAAATAGCCCATCATGGCACCAGGCAGAAAGAAGAGCTAAATTAATGTCACTTCTCAAACTCAAGAATTCTAAAGTACTTTTAAACAGCAATTAGGCTGCTGACAATTCCTGGGAGGTAGGAACTGGCACGATAAGATGCATCGTGAACAGAGGCTGTTTGAGGACACAGAGCTGGAAATATCATTTTGGACACCAACCAAGAAGAAACCTGGGGAACAACCCCCGAGGCCTCCTTCCTGAGTTTAAATTTTTTTTTTCCTTTTTGTCTTTTTTTCGTGACCAGTAACAGGATCACAACCCTCAGTGTCGCGCCCGTACCGCGACCGGCAACGGGATCACAACCCTCGGTGTCGCGCCCGCACCGCGCTCAACCAGTGAGCGGGAACCGGTCTCCACATGGGATCCGAACCCTTGGCGGGAGCGCCGCCGCACTCCCAAGCGCCACACTCTACCGAGTGCGCCACCGGGCCGGCCCATGAGTTTAAATTTTAAGAGACTGGATTACCCTTGTAGCCAAAAGTGCAGAGCAATAAAGGGATCCCAGGGCCACCGTCCTCCCTTTATCTGAACCACAAGTGAACCAAGGCAGGGGGAGAGAAAAGAGGACACTGGGCAGTAAGCTCTTCCTGCAAAGGGTATTTCTGGGAGGAAAGCACCAAATGCCAAAACCGAATGTAAAAAATCCAAGTTCAGGGGTTAGAGAGTCAGAAGGTCACATATTAGGGGACTGGGTCACAGACCTGAAGCACAGAATAAAATCCATGCTGGTTGAGATGTCCCATTATATTTGCACAAATGTGGTTCATGGCTGGTCGAAGACTCTCACCTAAATGAAGAAAAAATTTGAGAAAAAAAAAATCTTCCATAATGTGACCTATTTATGTGGAATAGAAAATTATGCCCCAGGCCCAAAGCCATAAGGGAATAAGACACTCTGGCTTGCCTTCCCATTCCCTTTCATCTGGTACCAGGGTACAGGGAGGCACTGTATATCTGGAATCCTATCTCTCCTGGAAGCCTGGCTCAAGTGTCACCTCTTGGGTGATGAGTATCATTCCCCTAGCCAGAAGCAACGGCTCTGGCATCTGAGCTCATGCAGCACTTTTCTAATTCACTCCTAGGGGCTAGCACTTTTTATTCTCCATCGTTGCTTCCTCTCCCCACTGGGACATGAGCTTCCTGGCAGGGCCCAGAACTCAGTAAGTTTTAGATCCCTCCCAGAGTGCAGGGTAATGCTTACAGTAAGTCCAACCCATTGGCCTGAAGTGTCTGTGCACACGGTTTCCTCTGCTTTCACAGTTTTGTCCTTCCTCCTCACTCTGTGAACTCCAAGTCTCCCTCCAGCTTTTTGCTCAGACACCACTTCTTTAGGAAAGCTTGAACCCCAGACCAAGCAAGGCCTCCCTGGTCTCACTGAACATCCTCATTTCTCTTGTATTCTTCCTTCTGAGCACTTAACCATACTCGTGTTATCTTATATATTTATGAGTAACTTCTACTTAATGTTTATTTCCCTCCACCCCCCTAAGTTCTTTGAAGAAGGGAGCACCCAAAGTCCCCGAAGAGAAGTACCTTTTGTTTTGCTCATCATTGTATCTCCAGTGCCTAGCATGGTATCTGGCACATAGAAGGCTATTCATTAAATGGATAAATGAAATGAAATGAAACATATAAGGCTAAGGACAATTTTCAGGGAAGGAGACAGCTTTAAAAGGTAAATTTTATGAGCAAAATAGAATTACTTGCTGCCTAATGATTCTCCAAATGAAACAACAACACTAAAGTGACATCATTTGGAGACTGAGGTGCTGTGGAAGTTATAAAAAATGAGATCATAAATTCAAAGAAGGGGAGAGTGTAACATACAACATTGAACATACTCTGGATGCAACAATGCAGTCTGATGAAAAGTACCAAGAACATCTTAAGCCTTCCCTGAGACTCGTGGTGGCACAAATACTTCTTACAAAGGAGAAAAGATCCTCCAAGCTCTCTATGGAAATGCCAGTTATGACAGATTTTGAAGCAAGTCCCACAGACCTTTTCCCCGAAGAATTTTCCATGTTGAAGTGTCTGTGAAGGTGACAAGCATCGTGAGGTACAGTGTGATGAGTCTGGAGTCTTGTAAGATTTCAGGCTGGAAACAATAAAAAGATTAAGATTAAGACACACAGACTCTGATCTCAGACCATGGAGCATCCAATTTACAATTTTTCTTAGAGCACTCAGACTCAAATAAATAAATGAGTCAGGATTATAAGTAAGCCTTCATTCTTTTTTTTATGGGGAATGACACATTAGGAGTTAAATGACAAGGATTTCGGCACATTAGTGCTTAACCATGGAATCAAATTTTCCTAGGAATGGAGAATTCCTGGGAAACAAGATGACGAGGGTTGTCTTGCTATATGTACATATATGTCTGTCTGTATGAATACTGCAGCAACAGAGCAGAAACTGGGCACAGCAGGAACTCTGGGCTCAGACTTCTTTACTACTTACTAGCTGTGTAATCTTGGCAAGTTTCTTAACCTGTCTGTGCCTTAGTTTCCTCACTTATTGACTAGGGATAGTAACAATGCTTTCCTCATAGAGGTGTTGTAAGGAATAAATGGATTAATGCACACAGGTGCCAAGAACAGTGCCTGGCACAAAGATAACTGCATGTAATGTTGGCTATTGTTATAATTATGATTGTTTATTGTTTCTCAAGAGTAAGTCAGGCAAAGGTACTGCTTTCCAGACTGAGACACTATAGCACGTACACCTGGAAGGGAACCTGGAGACCATTCAAGTTCAAACCCCTAACCTTACAGAGAAGAAGAGAGGGGAAGTGATTTGTGCAAGGCCACATGGGAAATCAGCGGCAGAATCAGGACTAAATTTCAGATCTTCCTGGCTCCAGATCCAGTGTTCTTTTCTCCTAATGTCTGTTTCTTCACATAAGGTTTTCAAATTTTTTCAAAGTAGAAGACCTTCCTCTCAAAGAGAAATCAATTGTGGAATGCAGACACAGAAACAAATAAAAGATGTGTTTGGCCCAAGTGAAGGCAGGGGAACAATCCGCAGGGTTGGCCCTGAGGCATTTCAGTGGAACCCCAAGGCTCCAAGGGCCTGGGTGTGAAGACCACTGCTCTGAGCCATAATACTTCTCCTGACAAGCCAGGCGTGGCTTGCTGTTGGCTTGCTGTTTGGCTGGGTTGCAGCCAAGAGCCATTCATGGGCATCCCAAGAAGGATGGCTACAAATGGATTGCTAGGGGTCTCTGGGGACATTTGCTCCATCACTCAGCTGCTGCCTGAGTCCTTGCCAAACCTCTGTCCCTGTAACCACTCCCTCCCTATTACAAACTGGAAGTGGCTGCTGTTTGGTCCACTTACACCCCTGTCCATATTATCAGAACACAAGGGTGGGCACGGGACCAAGCTGGGCCAGAGGCAGTACCTGATCCCTCTCACCACTGTGATTGGTTCTGAGATGAGTCCAGGACTCCACTGGGCCTTTAACAGTCCTCCTGGATTTTTGAACTCGTGAGGGGGGATTCCCTTTCCTCTTTGGTCAAGAGAGTAAGGATGTGAAGTCAGAACTGCTGGCTGCCATGACTACACCACGAGGGGATGAGGTGACCATAAAAGGGCGGAGAGATGAGAGAAAAGAACAAAAGGGAGAATCCAGAAGCCCATGGCTCTAGTCATCCCCAGCTGCCATGTATTCTGTAACAAAATGTTCTCTTTCTTGCTTAGCCTGTATGTATTATTTATTTATTTTATTTTGTCGATATACAATGTGGTTGATTATTGTGGCCCATTACCGAAACGTACGTGTGTGTGTGTGTGAATTTATTTATTTTTAGCTCCCACCAATAAGTGAGAATATGTGGTATTTCTCTTTCTGTGCCTGACTTGTTTCACTTAATATAATTCTCTCAAGGTCCATCCATGTTGTTGCAAATGGCAGTATTTCATTCCTTTTTATACCTGAGTAGTATTCCATTGTGTAGATATACCACATTTTCCGTATCCACTCATCCGATGATCAACATTTGGGCTGGTTCCAACTCTTGGCTATTGTAAAGAGTGCTGCAATGAACACTGGAGAACACATATCTTCGACTTGATGATT